GGGGGGGTGTACTCATAGTCGTGCATGCCGTAGTCGTTAGACCATTGACCTCGCAGTCCTACAAAGCCGGGACGTAGCACGCCGGGTTCTCACCGGACCAGGCTCTCACATCACCAAGCGCGAAGCGCCGTGAGATATTCGGCGAGTCGCATGAAGGGTGCGCTGCATCCTGCTAAGGATTTTCGGCATCTTGTGCTTACTTCCTTGCGTACGGATGACAGCTGCGTATGCATGACTTAATTTATTTTCTGGTGCTTTAACTTCCTGAGACAATTGTAAGCACCGTGTAACTGCCTCGAGGGTGCTTGACCATTTTAACACAACGTGGTGCGATCATCCCCCTTGCGCGGAGTGAGGCTTCTCGACCCCGCACAACATGATCTACTCGACCACCACTATGGTTACCGCCAAAAAAAAAGACGGAGGTAAAAAGGGCTTGTTTTACAACGTCGTTGCAAAGCGACGAAAACCCAACCCCGATGGCAAACACCGGGGGGGGGGGATTGGGGGGGTAACTTGGGGTTGCGGCAATGTAGTCATCTGATTGGCCACGCACTTCGTTTGAAGACTGGGCGCTGCCGTTACTACTACGTTTTACGTACGGGCTGCGTTGCTCCTCTACAGTACTAGGTTTTCTCCCCTTGCTATATAGAGCGGTTGTTCACTCGATACTCTTGTCCAATAATACATAGCATAACGTCGCTTATCGCCGTCTCAACAACAGCAAACAACAGCTTCAGCAATAGCGCAACTACCAGGGCACTACCCTGTCGCGCCATCATCGTCAACGACAGCAACATGAAATTGCAAGAGCAGCGGCAGCAACAACAGCAGCACCATCATCACCAACGACAGCAACAATTGCAATACCAGCAGCAGCAGCAGCAGCAGCAGCAGCAGCATCAACGACAGCAAACAACCGCAATAGCAGCAACAACAGCAGCAGCAGCACCGCCGCCACTGCCACCACCAACACCACCACCATCACCAACGACCTGGCTCACCTGCACATGTGTGCGTTCCTCCGAGGGCAACGGCTACAGCAGTGCGGCCAGTCCCGAGATCTATCGGTGCAAGGTTATCACCCATGGTGTTCAGGGCGTCCCCTATCGACGCGTTGCTGCCCTGACCAAGCTGACCACTGGACCCAAAGCCTGCTCCGCCCACACGTACGAAAGCGCGACACGCTTGTTAGAGATTTTTTGGGGAGTTGTTGCTGCTTTCACACGTAGGAGTGCCACCCTGTAGTCGCTGACAATACCCTTAAGAGCCTGTTTGCTCACTGCCATCGCCAACGAATGCGCTTGACGACGTTCGGCGGCGATCACCATGAACGAGCAAACATATGAGCAGCAGCAGCAGCGACGACGACAACATTCGAGACTCACAGCAAGATTAAGGACGACGACAAAGACGCAAGAACAACCACAACCACAGCACACCACAGCAACACCACAGCCACTGCCACCAGCAACAACAAACACAAGGCGAACAGCAACAACAACACACACAAAATACCATCAACACCAGCAGCCAAGCAATGACAACACCAGCAGCGGCGAAAAAGCAACACCTTACCCCCACCACTAGCAAAGCAACAACACCGGCAGCAGCAAGGCGACACGATATCCCAGTAGCCCAGTAGCATACATACACCACCAGCAGCGAAGCAACACCTTACCCAGCAGTAGCAAATCAACCCAGCAGCAAAGCGACATCTTACCCCAGCACTTGATGTCGCCCTCGTAGAGCAGCGCGCAGGTGTGGAAGAAGCCAGCCTCAACAGCAATCGCCCTCTGGCCCAGACCGAGGTCCACCGCAGCTAGCGCGTCCCCCATCCCCCCCACCCCATCAATCTCGACACCGGTGCCCCTGGGAAGTCGGTCTTCGTACCCCAGCTGCCCCCCGTCATTGTTCCCTGGCATTAAATTAAGTTGACAGAACGGATTTGCTACTAAGGCTAACTGATTCTGTTTCAAAAAACCGAGAATCCAACACAATTTTCACGAAACGTAAGAAATGATATAGGGTTAAAAGAAAATAATCACCGCTGCATAGCTAGCTATGCTCATCGGTGGCGGATCCAGGGCTAAACTCTACCATGTACGTGCAAAAACTGCTGTGCTCGATGGTGGCAACGAAAAAAAGGAATCAAGGGACAGGCTTCAGAAGCAACACCGCCAAATAGCAAGCTCAGCGTGTACGCAACTGCTGTGGTCGACGCTGGCAGCGGCGGAACGAGAAATTGTAAACGTATGTACATTTTCAACACCAGAGTGCTCCCGATTGCACCGTACCGCGGTCCCGGTGGTCCCGATTACACCGTAACGCGGTCCCGAGTCACGCGGGGGCCGATACACCGCGGTAAACACCCGCTTGTTCACGGGATTTGGCTACGAGCTACATATTCCCCAACACCTCAATAGTGCGGCGTCCCGATATACCGCGGTTGTTTTCGCTTTTGCCAGTTAACCGCGGCATATCGAGACCGTCACTCCCCACTCACCCCAGCACTTGACGACGCCGTCTTCCATCGTGGCGCAGGCGTGCTTCGCACCGACAGCCACCGAGGACACCACTGCACCGGTACCGAGGTCGACGAACGGCAAATCGTCCCCCATCTCGTCCGGCTCATCCCCTCTGTTCTCCGTGTCCCCCAGACCCAATTGCCCCGCCTCGTTCGCCCCCCAGCACCGCACCGACCCCCCGGTCAGCAGCGCGCATGCCGCGGAGCCCCCCAGGGACATGGACTCCACGGAGAGGCCGCTGTTGCCGCTGAAGTCGACGGTGGGAAGGTTTTCGCCCATCTCGAAGACCTCATCGTTGAGGCCGCCGCGGGCCTCCGTGTCCCCCAGTCCAAGCTGGCCCCCGTCGTTCTGCCCCCAGCATTTCACGGAGTCCCCGTCCACGGAGACCGCGCAGTTGAACTCGTTTCCGGAGTAAACGGCAGCAGCTTGGAACGTCCCCAGCGGGACCGTGGGGAGGTTGTCGCCCATGTCTGTCGCGTTTAGACCACGGGAGAGCGAGTCCAGTTGGCCCAGCTGCCCCAGCAGGTTGTCGCCGAAGCACTACAAACGGACACAAGCAAGCAGCAGGCGGCGACCGAAAGGCCGCGAGTCGTCACGTAACGGCCCGGAGTTTTATCAGTCCAGAGTCATCGCATCCCTTTGCGATAACGGCTACATCCGATTTCCGCACGTCGGGTGCGATGATTCGCAACCTAGGGTTCCGGGGCAACTCTTACCCCCCCTGTAACCACGCCGGTGCTGGCATGTTAGTACATGCAACACCATATGGCATCGTCGCAAACCACTCTACCGTGGAGGTTTGAAGGAGATGAAAAACAATGGGCATTGACACTTTCGTTGATTTGGGTAGACTTTGTCCACTCGACCAAAACGAGAAAGAAAACAGCAGTCACAAGTCGAGACAACTACCCTCTGACATGATTGCCAAGTGACTGCTATTGCTGTCTGTCGTGTGTGCGCGCGCACAACTCGACTGTAGCTTTGAGGCACACGGCGGGAACTTACCACTTTTGTGCGGGAGGGCTTCCTTTCGCCATGTGGCAATTCGCCGCTTACAACATTGGTCTGTGTCACCGCGATAAGTGATGTGCATGTGGGGCTTGCAACCGCAGTACAACCGAGGCATCCGTGTTTGAGGTCCGCAAAGAAGTGTTCCAGTACCGCACATATACCGGAGTTATAACGCAGGGGTGTGGGTTAAATGATGAAAAACCAAATGGCTAACTTCGATACCAGCTCCGGCACCGGAGTCATGGCAACCCTGTGCGTACAAAATTCAAAAATATTGTAAGACGTAAGCAAATAAGCCCCCATTCCTAAGAATGGTGCTGACAGTCCCGCCGTCTTCCTGAGAAAAAAAGGCGTTCAGCTTTCGAGGTTGACAGGTCTTGGGGCGCTTGATTTCGAAGCTTTTCTTGCTTGCAGAAATACTTCAGAGGGATCTCCTGTGCATAAGCGCTTGACCCAGCCGAGGCGCAAACCAACAAACCAAGTGGCTACAGGTCCATCCTATCCTCAACCATCCCAGAGCTACAGACAGGAAGAGGGTCTTGGGCTTGCGCGCCCTCTGCGAGGCGAAACATCGATCGATTTGAATTGACTGGGAACCCCACAGAGTGGCAGCCAGCAAATGGGTCACGGTGTACTGCTGCTGCTGCTGCTGCTGCTGCTGCTGCTGCAAATGGACAGGCAGGCAGGCAGGAACACAATGGCGACCCACATGGTGTCGCGGCAACACTAGTTTCATGCTTCTCCCTGCCGTGAGTGACAAGGGTCTCATTCGCGGCCCTGGTCCTTGATGCTTTCGCGCCAGGCAAGAGCTTTCTCCTGCCCTCAAATCAGGTTCCGCTTCGCCACCCGCAAAGAAAGACGAACACTTGCTGCTGCTGCGCTCGAGATCAAACTGCTGCCTGGGCGGTGTTGTGCACAGTATCGACATTTTTAGGCTCTGCCTTCGTCGAGCCAGCAGGGGCGACATCTGCAAACGTCACCCCGACAAACAGGAGGCGCTTCTGAGTCCGATAAAATCCGAGACTCTTGGGCGTCCGGGACTGTTCCCAGGAACGCTCCTTTGATCCTGAGAGTTTGAAGTTACACCATGCTTGCGCGCTGTCTCATACGGCGTACGACACCCACATCATACAAGTACTCCGTATGAGCGATGAGAGGGAGGGCATGGTCAGCGGTTGGGTGGCCCAGCCCAGGCTGTTGCGGCGCAAGACTGTTTGGTAATATGTTCTCGGCGTACATACCCCAGACAAGGTGGACTCGGACTTTGGCGAAGAGGGGGAGAGGGCAGTGAGCAAGAGGGAGGTAGGGGGGGTAGGGGACCGGGTACGGGAGGAGAAGACGAGGGGGAGGGGATAAAGAGGAGGAGGAAGAGGGGGACCAGGAGCCTGTCGTACGCTCGAGGGGGCGTAAACGCACCCCGCAACAATGGCTTGGTTTGGCGTAGTTTCGCGTGCGAGAGAGAACGAATGTCGGGAAGTGGGTTGGCGATAAAACGCAACACTCCATCTCAGCTAATTGTTTTGTGAGCTCCGACGTGACACACGTTCGGCGATTTCCGTCGGGCGTTGTGATGGGGTTCTTTTCGTTCACGCACGTAGAGGCGTGATCCTACTCCGGGTTTTGAGCTTCACTGAAGCTTGATTCGGGGATGAACGTGGCGTCGATGTGGATGATCGTCGTCGTGTTGTTTGCTCCAGCAACACGTTCTTCGCGCAGGCATGTAAAGGGCATTGTCGTGTCACAGAGAGTGTTTCATCTGGCTGTGTACGACAGGCTAAAACAGGTTTGACTCGTGAACTATTGAATCACTACGTTGAAAACTAAACACAACAACATGCGTGGTGAGGGCCTGATTGGGAAGTCTTCGCTCGATAGGTAAAGCGCATAAGAACGTTGTGAGATACAGCAGTGGTCCCGGTATAATGCCGGTGAAGTCGGCTGGACCGGCTGTAGCCCGGTACGTAATGCCGGTACCGGCATTTAGACGCAAACAGTACTTTTAGTGCCGGTTCGGGGCCCCTCTGGTGCGTGAATAATGCCGGTTCTCAAGGAAAGTCTCCAGTGTGAAGGCTTAACGGACTCAAAGTAAGCCTAGCATCCATCTGGACTTTCCCGCGCACTCACTGGGAACTCCAACACACTCCCTTCGACTGTTGTTGTATCTCGGCATGTATGTTTTGGTATGGAGCACAGTCTTTCTGTGATTTATGAATATTAATACAAAATCTTTGCTCGCGCACACAGCGCACACCAACACACACGACTTCGCGGCCGTGTATAGAAGACCAAGATGACGATTTTCGAGGCGCATGCCTCAATGCTAGCCCGACAGGCAGGCTAGCTGCCTACTTTGACAAGATCTGACAGAAGGGCCGCAGAGCAATGCTGCGAAGTTAGAATATATACACACAGCACCAGTACAGCTAGAATGTAGCGCGCGATCATGTTGTTGCTTCAGAAGCAGGTGCGGGTTTTGTCCCAACGACGGTCTTTGAGCTGTATTGTTTGATGTGTCGAATCTGATAACACCCACACGTACTACATGACAACACCATAGTGAGTGTTGAGCCAAGGCCCGTCGATGCACGCTCCTCTGTATGATGCTCGACCGCGGCAAGCTCACCAAACCTCCTGCCACGGCACCCACGTTCTTCCCTATCGCATGATGCTTACGTAGAGTACAACATGCTGGTGTAGATAACGTTTTCGAGTTGAAGTACGGATGGTTTTCCTGGGTAGTGCCGGTACCGGCACGATTCCGGCCGAGTACATAAACCGGTCGCCCCGGTGGTCTAGTGGGTAGCCTCGCGGCCTGCTAAGGGCCAGGTCATGGGTTCGAGTCCCGACAGAGTGAGCTTTTTCTCGCTATTTAAATCTTGGTCTTCGTTGGAAGCGACGCGCTGCAAAGCTCGTTGTTAGTAAACTTGATCGACTTCATAAGTCGCGAGGGAAGGGATTGCTGGGCCCTTTTTGCGATAAAAATATATCAGGCAGGAACTGCAGGAGGGGGTCCAACCGCCCCCTCCTATGTGACCCCGGTTGGGTCGTCTAGCTGGTAGAAGTGGAGGATAGGGGCCAGAGGGGCAGACGACAGAGTCCAATGATGAGAGAAAAACAAACAAAAATATATATATAAAATGGTGGTGGCCTGCTATGTAATGCCAGTGCGGTCCATGCGGTCCATCATCGGCATCATACAGCAGGGACCACTACTGCTGTACTACTGTAAGTAGCATTTTGTTGTTGTTGCTGCTGCTGTTGTTGTTGTCTTCACATTGAAAACCGTTCCGATCTCTCTCTACCCAGTACCTTCGTATGTCCGTACTGATACAACACTCGACGTGGTCGATTCCGGTGGTCGCAGGCTAACTTACCCTAAATAGGTACACTCAAATAAAATGGCCACGAGGGGTCCGCAAGTCGATAGAAATCAACGACAGATATTCTGGAGTCCTCCACCCCCTCTGCGCGCTATGCGAGGTAACAACTGAGACTAGGAGTCACCATCACGGGCCGGAGAGAAAGGGGTACACCCCCTTGGTTCAATCTTGGTACTTGAAGCGGACGTGGTGCAGCACGATGGGTGATGGTATATGATAAACAGAACATTACGTATATGCAAATTAGAGGGGATGGCGGAAGGGGGGCACACAATGTCCAGCCAAAATGGTACAACAGCAGTGAGACGAGGGAAACCAAACTGTCTTGTTGAGCCTGTTATCCGCAGGGGAGATGTCCATATATGCTGTCTGGGAAATCGTGGACACACAACAGGTAGTTTTCTTTGACGCTATGATTCCATTGCTAATCTGTCTTTGACTCTTTTCTCTGACGGAAATGGACTCGTTGTGTTGTATTTGGAAAAATAAAAAAAAGACTGGTGTCTTCCTATAACTACGTGGTAAAATTAGTGTCTTCCTATAACTACGTGGTAAAATTACTTCTATACTCGTAACTTGCTGCCTACGGGATATAGTCTACGTGGACTAGTACCGATTGAGCACCAACGGATGTGCCAACGGCTTACAGCAGAGTTCGCATATTCGAAGAATCAATCAACAACCTCCCGTTTCCGAACCAGCTGGAGTGGTACTAGTACGCATCATTGCTGCTGCGCAGCAGAGCAAGGGCACACGCTTTGACAAAGAACGGCCACGGAAACAAACACTCGCAAACAGCCAGAGCATCTAACCTTGACGGTAGCATCGCTGAGCACGGCACAGGAATGGCTGGATCCCGCAGACACAGCTGTCACAGGGGGAAACAAGGCCGCTGCCACAAGGGCAGACGCAGCAGCAGCAGCAGCTGAGAACATCGTCATACCGTCGTCGCGTTGCGCTGCAGCCTCGCCTGGTAGCTGAAAAACAGCGGGGGGAGGGGGCAGGTTTAAAACACAACAGGTGCTACTGACATTTTGCGCGTGTTCTCACAGGCAAGTAGCAGGTAGACAGCAGTGTACGCATTCAACCTTCTTGGGGAGGTGTGAAAAGACAATCCAATTTTGATGATTGTTGATTGTCCCGCTTGCGTTTAGCCGGGCGTGCACTCCATTTCTGCTCACATTGGCCACGACCCCACCCCCTATGACTGACTGCCACTTCTGCTCCTGCTACACTCCCGATGCTGTACCGCACTAGACCACTGAACTGCTGTACCTCTACGGATTAGAACAAGGGGCCTCCAAGTAAAAATTCAAGTCAATCTCAGAGGAGCGGCGCTCCGGGTTGCGCATGGGTGAAAACCAAGGTTAGCCTTGTCAGGCACGCCTTGGCGTCCCTCAGGCGCGCAGAAGACGGTGATGGATGCTTTAGGTATCTAAGATTCAAGGTGTCGACGTCCCCATAGTCTGAGACAAGGGCGAACGTGACAGCTGCACTGCTGGCTCGGCTGGCACACCCCACACCCCCTGGGCTTACCGACCACCGCCGCGTTGATGGTGATGGCTCTAAGAGATATCTAAGAGATATGTACTACGATCTGTACACAGAACAAGGGCATTATTTTTTTTTTCGTCCTCTGTTGTTCGCTGGAGTACAGATGAAGAGCGGATGAACATTATCACTGTTGTAAGCATGGGGATTGGATGAGACTTGACGGTCCCGAAAAAAAATACCTTGCCTGAGAGCTGCATGTGCAATCGGCATATATGTATACGTGCCTACCAGCCTCGAACCACGCAGTCAGCCCAGCTCGGCTTTAGAGCTGTAGACTGGAAGCAGGAGCTCCGTGCTTGGTGCAAGGGTTGAGCAAGTATTGGGCTACAGTATTAACACCGTCAACCATCGATGCCTCAACTGGATGGGGGAAGGAACGTTCCGAGGAAACTTAAACTTCAAAAAAGCCGTTACGGAGCGCAGAGTAGGTGCGACCGTTCTTTTATTTAGCGCGCACACGTCCTTTGACCACCCGACTTTGTCCTCCGCACCTCCAGCCAGCCCTCGAATGAAAACAGAAAACGTCGGTGACGACGCGGGGCATGCTTTGGTACGCAAGTGGGATGGTGTTTGCTCCCCGGCTGTGTGCTGTCTTCCATTTCCCGAAAAACACTACCACCATAAACCACAACGTTGTACAACGCCGTACTTTTCTGTACCTCGGTTTCCAGCGAGAGACCGAACCGGCCGTCGTTGGCATCGTCGTCTATACACAACACGACGCATGGCTTCATCTTACGTGCACCATAACAATCACGCGGACCCTGACTGCCTGAAAGCCTACTAAAATGCAAAGCCTCTGCTGAGAGCCCCAAAGAAAATGTTTTGCTCAACAAACGACTTTCTACGCGCTCAGCATCGATCGCCTGGTGTTGTTGCACCAGGCCTCGCGCTGTTCCTCGGCCTCGACCCCTTCCTCACACACACGCCACCCGCAACCTGCACCTCTCTCTCCTGTACAGGATAGATACACCCGCCCCCACGAGTATCCGAACAACGAACGATGGCCCACGTGAACAATAAGGCGAAGAAGAGCCTCTTTCGGGGGCTGTCTTTCAAGAAGCCATCGACCAAGCCGATGAAAATGGACAACCTCAGCCCTCCCGACGTGAGTGTCTGCAAGCGTTTTGTCAGGGCGGTGGCATCGTACTTGTCTATCAAGACACGAGGTAGACGTCACCTTACGTGCATCCTAGGGGTCGCGCGAACCCTGACTTCCTGAAGGCCTGCTTCACCCCAGCGCCAACCGAGTTGCAGAGGCGAAGCCTCCAACACTTTGCGCGTTGTTGTAGCAACACCACGTGGTGCAATGTATCCGGCAGCTCCGAGAACAAACAAGATGTTTGCGGAGCAGACCGCAATTTTATACTACCCCTTGCCTGCAACTTTGCACGAAGTCGTAACCCTTGTGCCGGTTATGTTTCACAAAGTGGATGCGGTGTGTCGTTGGGATACAATGCTATGGGGCGATTTCTTTAGAAGCATCATGTATGTGTTATGTTTTGTTTCGTAATTTTCATAGGTGGATGGAGCGATCACGTTTGGTGTACGGAGAGGTATACGACGAGTACGGTAGTGTCCTCTGTATAGTGCCGATCGGCCAATGCCGCGCCTGATATAGTGAAGTCACACGGCACCACAGATGGAGCGATCAAGTTTGGTGTCCTCAATGTTTTGGGTATTTCTATTTTCACTTCAGCTTTGGGGATGCAACATGCCGCTGCTGGAGGCCTCACGAAAGCGGTTGGGTGTGTCATGTTTCGCTTTTTTATTATTTTATTTCGGTGTTGGGGGACTCATTATCTACTGCGTGATCTGCATCGTCTGTTTCCCCGCCTCGCTGTTCCTCAACCCCGACCCCTCCTCCTCACACGCCCTCCACAACCTGCCCCTCTCCTGTACAGGATATACCTATACGAATAGCCGAACAGCAAACGATGGCCCACGTGAAGAAGCCGAGCCTCTTGAGTGGTCTATCTTTCAAGAAGTCATCGACCAAGTCGACGAAGGCAATGGCCAGCCCCAACCCTCCCGAAGTGAGTCTGTCTGCCGTTTGGCCGTCCTTCTGTCAGGGCGGCGGTGTCGTAAAACCATAAATCAAAGACAGGACAGGTCTGGCGTCTACAGACTACAAAGCAGACGAGGATTCACTCTCTCGATTCATGCAGAGCAACGATAGACAGTAGTCATACCAGCAGCAGTTCCTGTAGGATACGTGATTTGCACCCTATTTTCTCGCGTCGTTCGTAAAATGCAGCAGCAGACGCATAACGGAGCGTGACACACAGTCTTCTGACTGTCTATTTTTTTTCCAGAGGGGGCTCTACAAGACGTTTCTGTGACTTACTGACAAAAAATTCGTTACCGGGTTATTTTTCATTGGCAGCGAACTCAACTTCCAGATGTTCCAGATTGGCGTACATGTAGATGTACCCAGCCGATCGTTCTTCAGTTATATGTCGTGACGACGCCCTATCGCTGTTGTCTGCGCCCAGGCCCCACGAGACAAGACGGTGCCCACAACTGTCGTGTCCGGCATGGGAGTGTTACATGGCGAAGTGCCACCTACCAACCGCGCCGTGCAGTCGGAAGAGACGGAACCCTCCGTGACATCCGTAAGCGACCTGTGTAGGAGCGCTGAAGCAGTCACGGACGAAAACGTCGCCAAACTGTCTGCGGACGCCACACAAAAGATGGACAATGTAGCCCCTAAGATCCCGGTTGTGTCATCACAAGAGACGAACAAGCCCAGCAGAGGGAGTGTGTTGGCTCGCCCGCTGTTGGTTTGTCTATTCGTCGAGCGGCGGTAACGCCGCCCGCGCGTGTGTTTGGTCAACATATTTCCTTCACCCACAATAGCTTATTACCCCCTCGTCATTGACTACGCCCAGGTCCCCGACGACAAAAGTCTTCACATCGTCGAATCCGCTCAGAGTTCGGGCGAGGTGTCATCAACCAGCACAATCCATGCCCGGGGCTCGATACCGGCCGGAGAGGCGGAAGCCTCCAAGCCTTCCACCGGTAACCTCTCGGCGGGTGGTGGCGAGGAGGTCCACGACGCAGGAGGCGCTAGTTCGGTCACGCGGCCTCTGGACGTGAAGGTACAAGATATTAATGGCGTTTCCGTTGTGTCTAGTCTCCGTCCCCCCCCCAAAGCCTTGAAATAGGTGAGCACCAGGGGCTTCTTTGGTGTGATTCGGCTAACAGGTTGCCTTTTCGGCCAGATCCAAGGGACTTCTGGTTGCTAACGGTCGATCAAGACTGCACTTGCTGCCTGCCCATGTCTCTCACTCCTCAATACAAGGGAGCTTGAGTCAATCCTTCGTGCGGAAACGCTCTCGCCAAGAGCCCGCGAGCGCGATGAAGCAGTACACGCTCCGACCCCCCAAACAAGAGCATGCACACATATTCACTCTTGTGTTCATCTTTGTGTGCCAGGGAACGCGGTATGTGTTCTTTGAAAAAGCAAAGTTTTCGTCATCATCATCAACCCTGGGTTAACGCAGTCCCCACACACGACCCCAACTACCGCGGGAAGGCACCGTTGCCTCCGCGGGAAGGCGCGGAGGCAAGAACAGGTCCAGGAGGATCCACAGCCAACCCTCCTCTGTGTCGACAGTAACTGACGTTTGCCTTCCACGTCGTTGATTTCGCCTAGGTCCCTAAGCTTGGCGAGCGATACGTCGTTGTCTCCGGCATGAATTCCTTGCCTGGCGAAGTAGCGGTCAACAGCACGTCGGCACCAACGAAACCTGCGCATGCCTCGAAGCCACCCACGGGCGGCCGGCCTGTCTGCGTGAATTGCGGCGAAGGATGACGGCGTTGTTGCCGAGGTTCCGCACGTGCCGTCTCTGGAGGTGAGGACAGCAAGTGTAGAGCTCGATCAGCCGCGTGGCTGCCTCCCCCGACGCCGGCAAAGAGCTGGCCTGTAGAGGTGCGCTGTTCTCGTTGCACCCTCACCCGGTTTCCCTCACTGTTGTACGTATTCCGGTACAGCTTTGGGCAGTTGACGGTAAGGTAGGTATGCCAAAGATGGCGTGGTTGGCTCTAGCTCCCTTGTCATCCTGCACCCATGGGCACCCAATCTCGAGTCTCACACTACCGCAGGTCTCTCGCATTGGCACTTTTTCGCGGCAGGTTGTGGATACCGATGCACCTACGCCACGAGATGTGTCCGCTCCGATCGAGGGTCGCTCGGTGCCCAACGCTGGCGGACATGCTTCCGTGCCGGATGGGAGCGGGCTTTCGTCCGAGCCAGACGAAACAGTCTCAGGTTCTGGCAGCGCGTCGTTTCACGATTTTTCCAAGGGCTTGGTGGTGCCCTATAGCCCTTAGTACAAATCGTCTGTGGACGTGCCATCTGAGCGAGAAAGTTCCTCGGAGTGTGCCGAAAGTCAACCACGCTTGACTCCGCTCCACCGATGAGGGCGATATTCAAAGCCTTAGGCACCAGTAGACGGGAGCGAAACAAGTTTTTAATGTAGCAGACATTGCTGTGTGCATGTTGATTGTGACGTGTGTCTTTGCCTATAAATTGTCGAACCTGATGCGGATGATCGCCAAAGCCCAAGCCACCAGTAGACGGCAGGGAAACAAGTTTTTATTGCAGAATACACTGCTGCATGTTGGTTGTGATCAGCGTTGCTAGTTAAGAGTCAGAAGTGTGCAGCACCGAACCGCCGCGGTCAACATCTTGAATTATCCCTTGGCTGTGGGCACGATTCCCGCTGAATACCGTTTGTTCTAGCTCGCCATAGATAGGACGAACTCTCTAGATCCTCGTTCCGTTCAATTCGCGCGTGCATGCAATTCCATACGGGGGCATTTTCGGTGTTTCGAGGTCAAGCGCCAGTCTAATGCGAGTGTAGTTCCAATTCGTGTTGCCAGCCGATGCACTCGCACTCACAAAAATTGCTTCGATCTCACCTAACTCACTTTGTAGGCCTTCGAGCAGCTACCACGATTCGCTGGAACGAAGCCTAGGGGCGGATAGAGAGGCTGGTGGCGCAGGGGGAGTGCCCTCAAAACTAAGTACCAAAGGAATGACCGGAAGGAGGGGCCGGGAGGGCGGGGAGGGGGGCGTGGAGTGTGAGGGTACTATAGAAACAAGGTGGAGTGGTAAATGATGTCGTAGTCAGATATTCTCGCGCGACGATCGGAGGCTTCGATAGCGTCATTTCCATGTGTGAATTGGTTGCGGAGGTTGGTTACGCTCGTATCATGCGTGAATGGTGAAGCCATGTTGCGCAGTTCCGGGAGCGGGGCGTGGAGTATGAGGGGAGCGTGTGGCACGAGGGTAACATAGAAACAGTATGGGGTGGTACGTGACACTATTGTGGTGAGATTTTCTCGCGCGACGATCGGAGGCTTCAATCGCGTCATTGTCATCATGTGTGAGTTGGTTTCGGAGGTTGATTAGGCTGGAGATACCATGCGTGAATGATGAAGCCGCGGTCCGTAATTCATCCGATAACAAGAGGTTTGGGCACGCGTATTTGTATGTGGTGGGTGTGTCTGAAAGGTTGTATCTACAGTTGACAGTCCCGTAGTATCGCTTGCACCCTTGACCTGGATTGTTGTTGTTGTTGTTGTCTTCTCTCTATCCATTTCCTTCTTCTGTCCGTACTAGTCTAACACTTGACGCGGTCGATTCCCGTGGTCACAGACGAACTTCCCCAAGAAAATGTATACGAAAATACAATGGACTCGAAGGGTCAGCAAGTCAACAGAAATCAACGACAGATAGTCTAGGACACTCCGCTCGCCTCTGCACGCTATGCAAGGTAATCATAAACTGGGAAGTAAGAAGAGTTAGAAAAAAAATAAAAAGAAGAGCGCAGAGGGAGAAAAGTTACGGAAAAAGACGCAGAGAAAAACACACGCCGAGCCACTATCATAGCGACAGGAGTTCCATCCGGCACAGCATTTCGCGCAACTCGGTCCGCCTCTGCGCGTTTCCTGTCTTCCCCCGCCGTCTCGTCCGTCTGCTGCACCCCTCCCGCCCCGTGGTTGTTGCCGTGTCCATGCTGTTACCGGGCTTGTTGTTTCGTTTGAGCGCTCGTCGTCGGCTACAAGCCTCCTCTTCATCCTAGGTACAAACTCAATAACAATTTCTGACGTAAGCGTTCAAATACATGCGAAGTACAAGAAGTCCCCAAGTAATAGTTTCAACTACGTGGGCTCCTCTCGCTCGACCGGAGTATCGGTGGGATGACATGGTTTGTTCGCCATGGTCTGGTTCCGTTGGAGACAAAAGGCTAACTATAATGAACTCAAATATTGGCTTGCCGACCCCATGTATCATAAATTCTCCGTCCCCGCCCCCCCCGGTGTTTTGCCATCGGGGTTGGGTTTTCGTCGCTTGGCAACGACGTTGTAAAACAAGCC